GTCGCCGCCTGCGTCGACGCCGCCATCGCCACGTCGTGCGGCACCATCTACGCGGCGTTCCGCATGTTCTACCCTCTTGCGTACAGCTACTACGGCGGCTTTGCCATGCCCTGCGAGGCCGTCACCCAGCCAAACTACCAAATAATCCACCTCTTCGTGGCGGCGCTGCTCCACTTTGGTCTCACCGGCGGCTCCATCTTTGCCACCCTCGGCACCAGTTTCAAGGTCTGGTGTCCGCTTATCTTTGTCGGGCACATCCTCATGATGATGTTTGGTTGGTTCTTCCCCGTCGGTGGCCCGGCCGGCGCGCTCAACATGGCCTGGAACGGGCCCAAGGAGTGACGGCCCGGGTCTCTCAACGGTCATAGACGGCGAGCGGTTGGTGAGGCGGCTCGAGAGCGCGCTCCGTGTTTTTTTCTTTACACACTTACACGCAGAAAGTCCTTTGCTGTTGTGTGCGCGCGCTCGAGAGTGTGTGCGCGCCAGTCCCCCGTGTCCGCGTGGAGAGCATGCGAGTCGGAGAGTCGGCACGAAAAGATTTTTACTGAAAACTCCCTCGCACAACACTGGGCACGGGACTGGCGCGCACTGGCACTAACACAGGTACACCGAAAAGAAAGAAAGAAACGCACCATACACACCATACGGACGGCAGTCGGCACGCCGCCAAGGGAGAAAAAAAGAAAAATGGTGCTAAGAGACTATGGAAAGTTCACGTCATGACGGTTAAAACGGCTGTTAACGGTCGCGACGTGGTCAATATGTCGTGACAGCGGCTGCGAAACGACAGCAGCAACGACAGCAGCAACGACAGCTGGTGACAGCTGGTGACAGCTGGTGACAGCTGGTGACAGCCAGCTGCCAGGGAGGAGTGAAAGGCACCCAGGAACAGTGACAGCCATAGTGACAGTGACAGTGAAGCCAGTGAACGCCAGCGACAGGCGGTGACAATGTCAGCGCGGGACCCTGCGAGTGACAGCGACAGCGACAGCGACAGCGACAGCGACAGCGAGGTCGACCAACCTCGGCAAGGCGATGGTCGGCCTGCTCGAGCACGAGGACCCCGCCTCGGTCGCACACCTCGACGACCTCGGGCTCGAGGGCCGCGTGCTGCGCACTGCGGAGAACGCGATCGGCGGCATCGACCGCTCCGTCGCCGCCTGAGCGCGCCTCGCGTCTCGCGAGCGGCAACTCGCCCTCTCTCGAACCCCTCTCACTCGCCCGTGTGCCGTGAGGCCACGCAAGCGCGCCTACTTTCGCGGCGCAACAGAGCCGCAGGAGCACGAGGGGCGCGCCACTTCAGCGTCAAGGTGACCGTTGTCTGTATACGATAAGCCTGCCCGTGCCGCGGTGCCGGCCAAGGCTGCGCGGGAGTGCCACCCACAATATCATTATGTACACCGGTTTTTTTCTCTGCGCTGCGCGCGCTAGAGACACGACCGAGAACCGAGTCCGAGACACATGTTACAGCGACTCCCGCGAGGACGGCGAGGCACTTAGCTCCGTGCACCCGCCCGCCCCCGCCACAGGCAAGCTCATTCACAGTGCGGCGAAAGAAACGCGGTGAACGCACGCGCAGCACATGAGCGGCCGCACCCGCGCCGCCGCCATCGGAGCCACCGCCTCCCACGCATCCAACGCCGGGTCGTACCGCTCCACCGAGCTGAGGCGGTTGTGGCCGGTACCCAATCCGCCTGCGACATAGAGCTTGCCGTCGAGCACTGCCGTGGCGTGAGAGTCCCGCGCCGTCCCCATAGGCGCCACCGCCTCCCACGCGTTCGTCGCCGGGTCGTACCGCTCGACTGAGCTGAGGTAGCTGCCGTCGCCGCTGTAGCCTCCCACAGCGTCAGCTTGCCGTCCAGCGCCGCCACAGCGTGAGCAAACCGCGCCGCCGCCATGTGAGCCACCGCCTCCCACGCGCCCACTGCCGGATCGTACCGCTCGACTGAGCTGAGGCGGCTGTGGCCGGTACCCAATCCACCTGCGACATAGAGCTTGCCGTCGAGCGCCGCCACGGCGGGAGCCCCCCGCGCCTCCGCCATCGGCGCCACAGCCTCCCATGCATCAAACGCCTGGTCGTACCGCTCCACCGAGATGAGGCGGCCATTTTCGTCATCGAGGCCGCCCACAGCGTACAGCTTGCTGTCGAGCACCGCCACGGCGTGAAATTGCCGCGCCTCTGCCATCGGCGCCACCGCCTCCCACAACTTCGCAGCCAAGTCGTACCGCTCCACCAGGTTGGAAGTCATGTCGTCAGCCTCACTCATGCCGCCCACCGCGTAGAGCTTGCCGTCGAGCACCGCAGCGCCGACATACGTTCGTGCTGTAGACATCGGCGCCACAGCCTCCTCCTCCCACTCGTTTGTTGACGGGTCGTACCGCTCCATCGAGTTGATGACGCGTCCATCGATGTCTTCGCCGCCGAACACGAGCAGGCGCGGCCTCTCGCGCTTCTTGAGCGTCTCCTTCCAGCCGCGGCGCCACGCGCGGCACGTCCCCTTGACGGCGTGCTCCGTGGTCGGCAGCTGGGCGAGGATGTGCGGGGCGAGGTCCGGCGAGAGGAGGACCTCGGAGAGCACCCACTTGGGCTGCTCCACGAGCCGAGCGATGTGCTCCTCCGCCACGCGCATTGCGGCGGCGCTCCAGAGGGGCGCCTGCTCGTCGATGAAGGCGACGAGCTGCTCTGGCGAGAGGCCAGACAGGCGGGCGCCGATGCGGTGGGAGGCCATCGGGAAGGCGGAAGGGGGAATTTTCTTTTGAGAGCGCCTTCGTTGTTAATAGTACAAACCCAATGGTCCTCTGCGAGCGGTCCTTCGTTGCAGACGCACACACGCACACGCCGCGCCGCACCGCGCGCCCGCCCACCGCCCCGCCCAGGCGGGAAAGAGGTGGGGAGATGGGACAGCGAAGGAGGAGCACGAGCACGTATGGGAGGGTTCAGTAATGCGCCACGCTGCCCGGCGTTTCTCACTTTCCGGGACAGCCCCGCCCTTGTGAGGCAGGAAAGTGACGGCTACCCCGTACGCGCCTGCCGCTCTACTCGTCGCCGACCGCCCATTCCCCCCTCCTCGTTCCCCCCTCGAATGCTCCGGACCCCGACAAGCCGCCCGACGTTGGGCCTCTGCCCCGCACGCCCCCGGCCCTCGCTCACACCCCGGCCCGACACGCACTCTGCCCCGTACGCCCCCGCCCCTTCTGCCCCTCGCCCACACCCCGGCCCGACACGCACATACAAGACAAACCCGGCGTCCTGCTCTCAAAAGAAAAAGAAAAAGGGAATGAGGAGACCAGCGGGGGAGACTCCCCGCCTATGCAAGCCCCAGAGAGGGGCCGCCATCGCCGAAGCTGTGCCAAAGCATAACTCCAAAACCCGCAGCGGCCCAGGGGGCCTTGGGGGCAGCCTGCCGGACCGCCGCTGCACGGGGCTAGGCACCAGAAGACGAGTGGAATTGATGGATTGGGCTGGTGTCCGTGCCTCCCCTCTATACGTCAGAGTGGGACCTACGCCGCGCCGGGTAAGGGGCGCGCCCGGTCCTCGACGGAGCCGCGCGCCCCAAACGACCCAGGCGGTGAGTAGTCGTCCTCGAACCTTCGACTTGTAGTCGCCCGTGGTTAGCGCCCCTCCTCCCTCGCCCGTCCCTACTCGTACTGCTCTCGGGGCGCCCGCGGCATCTCGCCGCCCATCTTTGGCCACGCGTTGTAGTCGAAGATGGCGGCGTTGCGCCTCGCGACGATGGCCGAGTGCACTTGCAGGAAGCGCTTGCGCTCGCCACTGACCCGCCATCGTTCGCTGTCGGAGGACGCCTTAGCGGCCTTGATGTCGAAGTTGGTGTTGAACCACGTCGCCGCCTCGTGCCCGATGCCGCCGCGCGTGCTCGCCGCCCACGTCATAAAGTCGCAGTTTTTGGCGTCGCACGCCGCTGCCTTGGCCTTCCGCTTCGTCTCCTCGGCGTAGTCGGTGGCTAGGCGCTTGCCGCTCGCCAGCGGGCGCAGCTTGTCATGGTGCACCGCGGTGACGCACGTGCCGTCGTACACCACGGCGCGTGCCGACTCTGCATAGTTGCCGAAGACGCCGTCGCCCCGCTGGTACGGGTTGGTGTCCGGATCGTGCGCCCGCGTCGGGTCCCTGCAGCCGAGCCTCACCTCCATGACCTTTGCCGAGGCGCCGAAGGCGCGTGCGACGTTCGTGACGTGAGTGTTGAGGGATGCGTGCCCCGTGGCCAACCAGCCGCCGTAGTTGCATCCGTCCCAGTGCGTGCCGCTGAGGTGCTCGAATAGCGACAGCGTGCGCGGCACTCGTTTTTCTTTTGTGTAGAGGGGGTCCCCTGCTAGTGAGGAGACACGAGCGAGATCAGCGTGACGACGAGCGCGGTGGCAGGCTATCGATGGTAGAGAAGCGATGACAAGTCATGCGCCTCGACACCGCGCGCACTGTGGAGGTGAAGCCCTACTCCAATTTGGGACTTCGGCCTAAGCTGAAACTGTCTGTCAACGGATTCCCTCCGCGCCACGCCGCCATGCCCAGCCGAATATTAAAATACAAGCCTCTCTCACAGCACACTGGGTTCCGGCTCCTAGCCGGATAGGGGGTCTGTCGCCACTGACTCGCGCCAAAACGCCCTACCTACCTACCTATCCCCAGGCCGCGCAGCGAAGCGAAAAAAGATGAAAATAGCGGGTAGCTACCTATTGCAGGGCCCTTTTGGGCGAAACAAGACCAACCTACCTATCTGGGCACTCCCTTTGTTGCCACTCATAAAATCGACAACAACAACAACTCTCTCTCTCTCTAAATAAAATCGTTCGTTGGGTCGCTTCAGTTCACGAAGTCCCCCCGTGGGCCGACCCTCCGATTTTATGAGAAGAGAACAAAGGGAGTGCTATCTGGGAGGGGCCAGCCAGTGAGCAGACCCCCTATCCGGCTAGGAGCCGGAACCCTCACAAACGGCACGTATGGGAAAAGAAAGTCTGGGCGGGACATACTACCCGGTGCGTGTAGTATGCTCGGCGCGCCGCTGCCGAATTGCTCGGTCGTCTTCTTCCACCACGTCGAAAAGACTGCAGGCACGACGCTGCGTGCCCTCTTCCAGCGGCACGCGCAGCTTGGTCTCTTCGACCTCATCAGCTTTGTCGGCCGGCAGAATCGGCTGCAGCTCCAGCTCGTGCTCCAGCGGCTGCACTCGCTGCTTCGATCCGGCACGCTGCAAGGCCTGAGGCTGGCGGTGGAGCTGCACGTGGCTGGCGACCTCACCTTTCCATACACGCTCTATTACACCATGCCCGACCTCGTGCTCATCCGGGAGCAGGCGAGAGACACCCTAGTGCGGACAGCGAGATACATCCTAGTGATTCCGGCGATGAGGAGCCCGACGATCGGAGCGTTACTCACCTCCCGCCTCCGCTACAGCTCCGCGCCGCCGGCTGTCGCTGCAACCTCGTCTCGCTGCTGCGGATGCCGCTGCTGCAGTCGCTCTCGTGGCATCCTCGCTCCGTCACCGCAACGCCGCCGCCTCTGTTTGCAGCCTCTCTCCACCTCCGCCCCGCCTGTGAGCATAGGCACTCGCACTTTGTCACCACCAAGTCGCCGCTCTGCGTGTGGCCGCCCGCACCGGACTGCGGCACCCGCATGGCCCTCGGCTCCGACCCCGGCCAGGGCGCGCCGGCCTCCAGCGGGGAAGTGCGTCTCCACACGCCCTCCCGCCGTCGACAGGCCTCACCTGCCACGACGCGCCGCGCGTGCCGCCCCTCTCCGAGGAGCACGCCGCAGGCGCGGAGGGTTTTACCAACAGGAGCTCCTGTTCGTGTTTGGATCACTGTTCTTGCTGTATTGCGCAGGGGCGGAGGGGATGTGGCGCCTCTTCGACCTCGTCGGCGTGACGGAGATGTTCGACGAGTTTGTGCTGCTGCTCGGCGGCGCTGCGGCAGCGCGCCCCCCGCCGAGGGCGCGTCCACGACACGTCCGTGATCTCTCTCACAGGCGACCTGGTCGGGCTGCCGCACTTGGCGTACCGCGCGCAGCTGGTGGACCGCGTGACGGCGACCGCGACGGCGCAGCGGCGGCGGCGCTGGTCGGCGCAGCGGTGCGTCAAGCTCGTGGCGCGCCCGCCGCACGACTTGCTGCAGCTTGTCGGGAGGAAGCTCAACACGTCGCGCGAGCAGGCCGGCCGGCAGAGGCGGCGGATGGAGTGCTCGACGTACGGCTGCTTGCTGCGCGGCGCGGTGGTGTCGAGCAGCAACTCGGTCCCGTACGACCACGCCGCGTGCGAGGCCGTGAGCGCCATGCAGGCGCCACGACGAGACGCCCACCCCCCACCTCCCCCACCACGCGCCCACGACCCGCCCACCGGCTGCCACGCACAGGTCCTCGAGCGGCTCTGTGGCCGCGTGTCGGTCGACGAGCGCGTCTACCTCGCCGTCCGCGCCCGGTTCAAGCAGCAGCTCGCGGCGCGTTTCTCTCCGCCACCCAGCGGCTTCACGGCTCATCGCAGCTCACCTCGGCGGTCTGTCGGAAGGCGCGCCTCTCCACCGCCCAGCTCGGCCGCCGGCTCAAGAAGCTGTCCGCCTCCAACGAGGCGCTCTCGGCGCGCGCCGTCCGGCAGGAGAGGAAGCTTCGCGGCGCCCGCTCCGCCCTCGCCTCCTGCGTCGGCTGCTCGGGGGACGTCGTGCCTGAGTTTGACCTCGGCGGCTGCTGGCCGCTCTGGGAGCAGTTTGCCCCCGACGAGCGGCGCTTCCAGTGCTCGCGCACGTGGACGACCGACCCGGCCTATCGCGACCCCGCCGTCCGGCCCGGCTACCGCGAGAAGCCCTCCGTCCTGCACACACCCATGGTCTGCGGGCGCACCCGCGGGAGGCGACGGGGTGGGCAGGGCCTCTTCACGCCCTCCAAATGTGCACAGGCTTGCTGGCGCACCTGCTGGACGCCGACGGGGCTCGTGGCAGCGAACGAGATGCGACACAGGACACACGTCTCTTGCACCGTTCCCCCGCGAGGCTCTTGTCACGCGCCGCCCGCCCCTTCCCTCTCGCGCCGCCTCGCAGGCGGGCGACACGGCCCACTGCACCGCGCCGTGCCCCGCTGCCGCCCCGTTGCCGCTCGAATGGCGGGCGGAGTGGGACCGTGAGCTCGCTGCCTCCGCTGCGCGGCCAGGCGCCAGCCAGGTGCTCCCACCGCCTCTGCCGCCTCTCCTTTTTGTGCATTCGGGGCATGTACGTCATCAGTGTCCTCCTGCCCTCACAGGACCTCGCCGCCCTTGCCGCGCCGTTCCGAGCGCGCGCACGTGGTGGGTGGCACTCGAGCTACCTGACGAGGCAGATCTTCCGCGTGTTTTGAGGCGACACGTCGGTCGTCGCGGACCTGCCGCTCAGGACCTCAGGTGGCCTGGCGGCCTGCGCGCGGCGCGAGGGTTTGGTGGCGGTCACAGAGAACATTGGTACTCTTCTTTGTTGGCATGTCGTTTGGGTGAAGGTCGGTGAACCCTTCCCAGCCCCTCTCCTTTCCACCCAAACAACCACCTCTCGCACCTCGTGCAACGGCGAGGATTACATGAAGCCAGCGAAACCGTCCACCCGCGCCGCCGCCATCGCGGAAGTCACCGCGCCTCCCACGCGCCTGCTGCCGGGTCGTACCGCTCCACCGAGCTGAGGCGGCCGTCGTAGTCTGAGCCTCCCACAGCATACAGCTTGCCCGCGAGCACCGCCACGGCGTGATAGTCCCGCGCCGTCCCCATCACCGTGATCGGCGCAACCGCCTCCCACGCATCCAGCGCCGGGTCGTACCGCGCTCCACCGAGCTCTGAGGGAGCCGTCGTCGTCGTTGTATCCGCCCACAGCGTACAGCTTGCCGTCGAGTACCGCCACGTCAAGATTGTCCCGAACCGCCGACATCGGCGCCACCGCCTCCCATGCTTTCGTAGCGCTAGCAAACTTTGCTACGAGGCCCCACGTCGGCGGGGACCTCGATGGTGGACGCCTCAGCCCCTCCTGAACTGGCGGCGGCAGGCGTGTTGGGCGCGGCGCGCCATGCGGCGTAGACGGCGGGGCAGGCTGAGCGGGGGTGTCACGGCGAGCACCGGCGGTCGGAGGGACGAACATTGCGCTCATCCGGCCCTGGGGTCCTTCGGCGATGTGGCATCAGCGGGGCCGGCGCGTACGGGCGGAGCAGAGGTAGACTCGGCAATTCCGCTGTCGGGCGGAAGCGATTCGCTGCTGGGAAACCAAGAGTATCGATGCCCCTTGAGTCCAGGGAACTGATCTTCCCAAACGCGAATTTTGGCGACGACCTGGATGACCTTGGACGCAAACAAATACACGACGCGTCCAGGGCTGACTTCAGAAGGTCCGAGGTAGAGGCCCATGCCACCGCGGTCAGCAAAGTGGCGATCGCCCTCACGACGAGGCACAGGGATAACGGCAGCGCACAAGCAACCAAAGGCGTATACGTTCTCGACGGATGGCAGCATACGACTGAGGAGGTGAAAGGGCGATCGCAAATTACGCGTCGATCGTGGGAGGCGATTCTGCAACCATGCAGTTGTCTGCAGTGCAAACGGATGAAACGTAGGCGGCAAATTGGCGGCGGCGAGGAGTACTCGAGCAAAGAAAGAAAGAAAGACTTTGGACAACCCAAGGGAGAGTACCGCCCGCTCCGCCGCCGTCGCCGCCGCCACCGCCGCCGCCCGGTGGGGGGTCTCCCCCGTCGGGCTGTGCGGCGGGCTGTGCGGCTTGAGCCTCGAGCCGCTCGAGCCGCTTGCGTGGAAGCACTCGCAGCTCCTCGGCCGAGTCCACGGGAGCGGGAGGCGCGGCTGGGGCCCCGTCGGTGCCCCCGCCAGCCCCCGAGGGGGGGGGCTCCTGCCCAGAGCCATCCTTTGCCTCTGCGGGCCGTTCGTCTTGGTCAGCGTCGGAAGCGCGCTTCGGCGCGGATTTGCCCATATCGTTGGGCGCACGGAGGGAAGGAGAGGTGGGCTCCTGCCCGAGAGGTCGCGGGACCTGCGCAGAGCTCGCTCTGCGTGATGCCGCTCGAGCTTGGGCGTGCACGCAAGACGCGCAAGCAAGAGCAAACAACTGGGAAGTTCACAGCTGAAGTTTACCCAGAGAACTCCGTTCGCACCCATACCGTCGGGTACTTATTTTAAGACGAGGTAAACAGCAATAGATCCGGCCCTCAAGCGGCCTAATCGATACCCAGCCCTCACGGAATTGGTCCCTCGTTGTACAGCAATCGATCCTTCACAGTGCCCGTCCTGCCAACTTGCTGAGAATCGGTCCCCCAGGTCACCTGTGGCGCGAAGCTGATGTCTCCCGCCCTCGGCGCGCCCAACGCGCAGCGGCGGCAGACCACCCTCCGGTTCGAGGGGCGCCTGGGGCTGAGCGGGCTGCCTCCGCCAGAGTTTGGCTCGCCCACCGGCGGGCTGTCACCCTGCCACGGGTCGCAAGCCCTCTGCCGGCCGGAGCGCAGGCTGCGCGGGCTTCCAGCAATTGGTCCCTTGGCAAGCGCGAATCGGTCCCCCTGGCTCCAGGAACTGATCCGGCACTGCACGAGGATCTATTGCTGTTTACCTCGTCTTAAAATAAGTACGCGACGGTACTCGAGTAGGCGCCGGCTTTCCACCGGCATTGCCCATCTTTCGCCGATCTGCTGCCCCCGCCGGCGGCGATGGCGGACAGCAGCGCGCCTGGCGCGCCGGCAGTGCCGTCGGATGGCACGGCTGGTCGGCTGCGTCCACCCGCAGCCGGGGTGCGCGCTCGCCCTGATGCCGCGTCGTCGCCGCTCACGAACGCCCTCCTGAAGCGCCCTGCCGACCGGCCAGCCGGCGAGCACGAGCGCGCAGCTTCTCGATCCCGCGGCGCAGCGCCGCGGATGGATGCCCTCGGGTCGGTGGAGAAGGACCCGGGCGCGTCCGCCTCGACCCGCACCGCTGAGGCGCCAGCAGTTGCGGCGCGGCAGACTCGCGCCAATTCGGCGCAGCTCGCCTTGGAGCCCATCGCGCTCTCAAATCGCCTCGAAACCATGCTCCTCGGCAACCATCCCGTCCCTGCACCTTCCAACGAGGTGAGCGTCGCCAGCGAGGTCTCCAACAGCATCATTCTCGTCGCGAAAGCTGCCGTCGACGCGCTCTTTTCGTCGCCGCAGCGCGCTGCGCTGATGGCTCTCGGGCTGCGGGACCTCAAACCGGCTGCGCTGGCGTATCTCGTGTGGGACCTCCGCGGCGTGCTGGCGGGCGCGCGCCACGACCAGGCGGTCGCTGCGGCCTCGGTCCGTTTCCGGCGGAGTGGGAGCCGCGGCTCGGTGGCCTTGCTCCTGCTGCTTCCATTCCTCCCGGTGGCTCGGGCTGGCACCTCACCTTCGCCCCCTTTTCCTCTACGGTCGCCACCGTTGCTGCCCCCGTTGCTGCCTCCTGCTCCGCCCCCGCTGCTGCCTCCTGCTCCGCCATATCTGCCATCTCCGCCCTCACCTCCGCCCTCGCACCCGCTCGCATACTACACCATCACCACGACGCCGGGATCGTGGCCTAGCGAGGCGAGCTGGGACCTCTGGTGCGGCGGCGAAGTCGTCCTCTCATCGGCGCCCTACACCGGCTCAGACCAGGCTAGCGGAGAGCCTTTCCAGACCGAGTACGGCGTCTCCCTCTCGCCCGGCGTCGAGTGCGAGCTCCACATGTACGACTCGTACGGCGACGGCTGGAACGGCGCTAGCTGGTCGGGCCTCGGGCAAGAGGGCCTGACCTTTGCCGCTGGGCTTGAGGAGAGGAAGTACTTTGTGGTGCCGTTTGCGCCGCCCTCCCCGCCGCCGTCACCGCCGTCGCCACCGCCGCTCCCGCCGCAGCTGCCGCCGCCGCCGCTCTCTCCGCTGCCTCCGCTCCTCCCCGGCGAGGCCGTCGCCCACACGCCTCAAGACATCCAGGACGAGATCAACGAAGCCGTGGACCAGGGCCGCAACGCGACCGTCTACGTCCCGCCGGGCGCCAGCCTTGCCTTCAAGAGCGACGTCGAATGTGACGGCAACATCCACCTCTCGGTCCGGAGCAGCGGGGAGGGCGCGACGCTCGACGGCAAGAAGAACTCCCGCATGTTTTATATCAAACAAGGCTGCAGCCTCTACCTGGAGGCGCTGCACTTTGTGGACGGGCGTGGCGTTTATGGTGGCGCGGTGGAGGCGCGTAACGCTGGCGACATCGCGATGAAGGACGTGTCCTTCACGGGCTGCGAGGCTGACCTGGTGCGTCTGGCCCTCTCTCCCACGCACCGCTTGGCCTCGCTAGCCCTCGCCATCCACGAGAGAAGGAATGGATGCCCCTTGAGTCGCATGCCGCGCTGTGGCTGGCTTGGCCGCCCCTCACCCGCTGACGCCCCGCTGCCCCCTCTCGCGCAGCACGGCGGAGCTATGTTTGTGCACCTCAGTGGCGATGTCTCGATGGAGAGTGCCGGCTTCAGCTCGTGCACGTCTGCCAAGGTGCGCCAAAGCATCCGTGTTACACCACACAAACACTCATGCCGGGGAAGGGAGAAAACTCGGCGGCCCGGGAAAGGGAAATAGAACGGGCCGTTCTGGGCCAGGGGGTCCGCCCACTGACGCCCCGCTTGCACGGCGCCCTCGTGCAGTCCGGCGGAGCTATGAAGGTGGTCAACAGCGGCGACGTCTTCATGAATGGTGCCAACTTCAGCGAGTGCACGGCTTCCTATGTGCGCCCACCCACGCACGCCCGCAAGCCATCAAGGCCAGGGGGTGGGGAAAGGCTCGCTAACGGGCACCGCCCTCTCTTGCTTGCTGACGCCCTCCCCGCCTGTGCCTGCCCGCCCTCGCGCAGGACGGCGCAGCTATGTACGTGCTCGGCAGCGGTGACGTCTCGCTGGAGGGTGCCAGTTTTGTCGGTTGCGCGGCTGACAATCAAGCGGTGCCGCGCGCCCCCTCCAAGGAGGGTGCACACACCGAAACGGGAGACCAGTCTGTGTTCTTGTGTAGGCTCTTTATCTCCTCAGTATCGAGCGCCTAGCTCTCACCAACTCGCAGTTTGTCGACAACATCGCGAGCCAAACCCCCGCTGCGCTCTTCTTCTCCTCCCGCATCGCTGCCTCCGACTCGATCCTCCGCAACACGACCTTCTTCGGCAACTCTGCGCCAGGCAACATCACAATCCTCGCCGCCTCGCCTCTAACGTGGGACTGCCCGCTCGGCTCTTGGATGCCGAACGTCGGCCAGCTCGTCGGCGACTTGTCCGGCTGCAACAGGCTTTGCGCCGAGGGTCACTACGGGAGCGCGTCGAACCACATCACCTCCGATTGCAGCGGCCCCTGCTGGCTCGGGCATTTCTGCCCAGAGGGATCCGTCCTCCCACAGAAGTGCCCCGCCGGCACCCACATGCCCAACAGGTGGGCGGCGAACGTTTCGGACTGCTTCCTCTGCGGCCCCGGCCAGTACCAGCCAGAGAGCGGCCAGGAGGAGTGCTTGCCTTGCGCTGCGGGTTCCTTCTCCCGCGACGTGGGCAGCGCCGTCTGCGAAGCCTGCCCAAAGGGCGGCTTCTGCGAGGACGCGGGCGCCGCCTCTCGCCTTGTCTGGCAGGCCTGTCCCGCGGGCAGCTTCAACCCGAACAGAGGCTCCAGCTCGAGCGCGGCGTGCGAGCTGTGCCCCATCGGCATGTCGAGCGCGGCACCAGGGGCGGAGGGCAGCGAGACGTGCTCGCCCTGTGAGCCCGGCACCGTCGCCGCCACGCCTGGCCTCGCCAAGTGCGAGCGTTGTGAGCCCGGCAGCTTTTCCGGCGCCGGCAGCGACTTTTGCAGCGATTGCGCTGCAGGCACCTACGCCGCCAACCCCGGTTCGGGAGAGTGCATGCGCTGCCCTCACCCCCTTAGTAGTGGCCGCGGCAGCGTCACCTGCTCCGTCTGCCAGAAGGACTTCTACCTGCTCAAGAGCGCCGACCCGGCCGAGATCTATTCCTCCCCGACCGACTACTGCAAGCCGTGCCCGCCAAACGCCGACTGCAGCTCGCCCAACACCACTCTCGAGGCCCTTGGCGTCCCAACCGGCTACTGGCGCGCGAGCCTCTCCAGCGCCGTGTTGACTGAGTGCCGCCTCTTTGGCGGCGATGCCAAGGCCGGAAAGAAGCGATGCGCCGGCAGCGAGCCGGTAGACGATTCTCGCCGCCGGAGGATGGAGGAGGTTGGCTCGGACGCGTACTGCGCTCCCGGCTTCATCGGCCCCGAGTGCGAGCTCTGCGCCGCGGAGTACCACTACCTCGCCGACGGCGACGAGTGTAAGGAGTGCGCTCCGCGCGGCGTGTCGGCGGCACTCATCGCCGGCATCGTCTTCGTCCTCTGCGCCGCGTGCGGCCTCGCGGCGTGGGCCTACAGCGAGACGGGCTGGCGGAAGAAGGCCTACATCGGCCGTCTGCTCCGCTTCGCAGACCGTGCCGTCTACTGGTACGTTGGCGTCGGGCTGACGGCAAAGCTGAAGATCCTCTTCGGCTTCTATCAGATCTGCACCGTCTTGTCCTCCACCTACTCCGCGCGGCTGCCGGAGGAGTACACTGGCTGGACCGACCGGCTGGCCAACGCGATGTCCATCGACTGGTCAGGCGTCTTCCTGCCGGAGCAGTGCCTCGGCTACGGTATGCGACTCCTCGCCATTGCTCTCTCGCCCGTCGCCCTCATCGCACTGCTAATGGGAACGGGAATTGCGCTGCGGCTCCACTACTGGCGTGCCGCACCGCCACCGCGCGAGAGATCGTGGTTCGCAGAGGCGGCCCTCGGCCTCCTCGACCTCACGCCGGCCGGCCTCGTGCTCGTCTTCTGCTTCGTGCCCTCAATCAGCGCCTCCATCTTCCGCTCGTGGTCGTGCCAGGCGCCCTCGCGGCTGATGACTGCCGTTGCTCACAACTCCCACCCCTCAGTCTTTGCGATGTTCTACTGATAGGCCTACACCGTCTCTCCGCCGAACGAGCCCCTGGAGCAGGTCTCCTACATGCGGCAGGACGCGAGCATCGAGTGCGGCACCGAGGATCACGAGTCCATCACCGACGTCGCCATCGGTCTCATCGTCCTCTGGCCCGTCGGCTCGCTGGTCCTCTTCACGTCGCTCCTCGCCGCCTGCTACAAGCCGCTGCAGGCCAAGACGCCGAATGCTCTGACGCGTGCCACCGCCTTCCTCCACCGGGAGTACGAGACGACCTATTTCTGGTGGGAGGCGGTCGAGCTGGCGCGCAAGCTCGTGCTCACGGGCTTTGTGTTGCTGATACCGGAGGAGAACGCCTTTCTTCGCCTCGTGGTGGCGACCCTAGTCTGCTCGTGCTACGCCGTCGCACTTGCCGTCGTGCGGCCGTACAAGCGGGTCGGCGACGACGTGCTAGCCGTCGCCACAAGCCTCGTGCTCCTCCTCCTCTTCCTTGGCGCCAACTGGACCACCATTTTCCTCGGCATTGAGGAGCGACACCCCGACACAGAGGAGGCCGCCGCCATCCTCGGCTTCGGCAAGCTGAACGGCGTCGTCAACTCGATGCTCGTCCTCGTCGCCGTGACGCTCCTCTTCTTCCTCATCGGCGCCGTCGTCGCCGCCCGCCGCGTCGCCATGATCCCCACGATCCAGCTCGCCTCGACTAAGCAGCCCCCCGAGCTGGACATCGGGACCGGCATCACATGGCACTTGTTCCTCTCGCACATCTGGTGCGTCACGCAGCTAGTGAGGATGATCAAGCCAGGCCGCATCGAACTCCACCCCCGACCATGCAGGTCGACCGGTCAAGACGCCGTCGGAAACATCAAGAGCGAGCTGCAGCTGCTGGTGCCGGGCCTCAAGATCTTTCTCGACGCGCGCACAGGCTCAGCCGCGCTGCTTTAGCTACACACAGCCCTTCTGACGCACCGCGGTTTGCGCACAGGTAGATAATCTCAAGGATATTGGGGCGCTCGAGGAGTACATCCAACGCTCGCAAATGATCCTCTTCTTCCTCTCGTGTGGCTACTTCCGCTCCAAGGCGCGCTCTCGCCGCCCTGAGTGTCCCGCGCTCGGGATCCTCTGGCTCTCAACGCACCCGAGTCTGCTGCGCCCCTCGACACTCCCCACGGCTCACCGCCCGCCTGCTTGCGTGCCACCAGAACTGCCTCCGCGAGATCCGCTCGTCGCTCGAGCAGAGCAAGCCGATCGTCCTCGTCCAAGAGGCGGACCCGGCCAAGGGCGGCGGGACGCTGCAGGTGCTGCGCGGCGAATGCCCGGAGGACCTGCAGCCGGACATCTTTGAAAAGGGCTGGACGCACACCATCTACATGCGAATTGAGGAGTTCCAGCGCGTCTCGCTCAAGACCATCGTCGAGGCGCAGCGGGGCACAGCCGCAGTCCTCTCGTCCCTCCCAAGACCTTAGCCACGGCACCCTTGAACCGCAGGCGGTGCTCCTCAGCTCACCCAACTACCTTGACCGGACCTCCCTCCCGCTCTGCGTGCCGGGCGAGCCCGAGAGCCAGTCGCTCGCCTTTGCCAAGGCAACCCTCCTCTGGGCCTCGCCGGCCAACGCGGGCGCACAGGCCTTGGCTGACGAGATTGCCGACGCCTTTGCCGGTCTCACGATCTCCACCGCCGAGGCGCCCGGGCCAGCGACCCACATGCTGCTCTACCTCAACGAGGACAGCTATTGG